TTATTCAAACGTTTTCTTCTTAAACACAACGAAAATGTACGGAAGTTGTTCTTGTTTGCAACAAACTCGTGTACAAAGGTTTTGTAATTATTTATTTATTCGGCGGCTCGAAAACGGCTCGTGAAAGTTCACAATTATTATTTATTTTTCTTTTGTCGGCCGTTTGTTTGAGAAACTTTTGAGAAAGATAAACCTTTTTGAACCATCCAATTTAATGTTTTTGCTTTGTTCGGCAACGCACTGCTACGGCGGTGTTGACGGGCGGGTTTGTAAACACCCAATTTGTTTCGAACGATTTCAAACCAAATTGACATAACCTACTTTGCATGCGAGATGAGCGTGTAGCGTCGGTTTTATACATTGTAACCCTTATCGATCCCGTACAGATGCATTAGGTGTATAAGTAATAATATTTTACAGAGTCCCCTGACGCCCATCCATCTCGTGGAACTTATCACTTTGGATTGGAATTGACGTTTCGTCGGTAAAAACACCAAGCCCTAACCGAATAAGGCAATCGTTTTTCAAATCAATCAGCTTCGCCAAACTTAATTATTGTACTCGATCGAGCGAAAGCGTATGCGATCGACCAAATTCCAATTCCATTTATTTTCAACGCGGACGTGGATCCAAAGGAAGGAAAAATAAAATAAGATAAATTATTTTTAGTTCACTTTTCGTCTTATTTAAAGGCTGTAGCAAAACAGAGGAGATATTTACCACGGGCTACTGTTCTACAAGACAATAATACTGGGATAATAAAGGAAACCGTATTTGTAGAAATTATATCAGTATCTTTTCGAATTTTACCTTAAGGTCATTTTTCACGACAATATGGCTTTTTTCTCCATGTCAGAATAAAATATAGTTTTACGAAAAAATAAATATTAACAAGGTATATATTTATTCATTACTAATTAATACATTTATTTTGTATAATAAAACAACTTTTTTACCAGCTTCGTTTAAATATTAGACTTGGTCAAAGTAAATCTAAGCAAACGACGAGCGCGAACATTATTTGTTGTTTTAATTTGATCATCATGGGTTAGAAGATAAAAATAAAAACAGTTGAATAATTTGTATTTTCCATCATTTATTTACAAATCACCTTTTAATTGAAAATATAAATATTAAAAAGAAAATTGTGTAAACATATAATGAAATAGTGAATGATTTTGTGCGGAATGAAAAATCATTGGAATAAAAATTTGCCCAGTTCTAACTAATGAAAATCTTAAACGTTATTTCATGTTTTTATAAGTACAACATAAAAAAAAACACAATTATTACCAACCCTACTCTCTTCTAGTTTCCTACTACTTAATGGGCTAAACATTTAAAGACTAGTAATATTTAAAATATATATTATTAGGCTATTTTATTTTTTACGAAATAGAAACAAATAACGGCTTCAGATTATGCGACCATTGAAACCGTACTCCTAATTTCGGTTTATCAATAAATAAACATTTTATTTAGCCGGGTTGTTTGCAATCGAGTAGTAGAATATTAGTATTTGATGTAATATTATGATAAAATAAAACATTTGGTGTATTGCATAAGCTGACAATCCAATGCGATTATGGTTTTTACAGTACAGTAATCCCATTAGGTTTAATTCAAAACTATATTATAGTGATTTTGATTAATAGCGTTTCGGTTTCAGTTTGGTTTTGTTTTCAAATCGAGTAACTAGCAAAATGAGATTATGGCAACAGCGACGATCGACCTTACTGGATTAAAATGTATACACTTGCTTTAAGTACAACTGTCAAAAAAATGTCTCTGTTTATATGTTTTATTGTCGAAACGCAAAAGATAAATCAATAAACTCGTTTTGTAAGTTGTTATCAAAATAATAACTGTAAACTCTGTAAAGGGACGGATGTTGGAGATTATAAATTCAAATAAATATCATTCAAAAATACATACTGAAGTCGACGTTTTATGTGTGTTTCATAGGCACTGCCAATAGACGAGCTATCACATGGGACACGTGTAATAATAATATTGGTTTAAAAATGACCGTGTTCACAAGTCACGTTAAAAATATCTGTCGATGGCGTGTGAGTCAACCGCTCTTTATTTAAAACTATTTTCTTATGTTTTATTTAATACCATGATGTAATATTTAAACTAATTATACTTAGTTATAAGTTATACGTTTTTTATTGCTAAAATTAAAAAGCAACCTTTTATACAAAGCCCGTCAAACAAGTGCTACGCCTGCTGTCTTAAGCCAGTTGGCAAAAACACCCCAAGCCAAAAAAACCAGGCAGACATATTTTTTATTAAACTTCGCAAGTGTTTGGTACTCGATCGACAAAGTGATATTGTGTTTATAAATATACTTAAAAGCTAACTGGGTCAGTATTTAAAAAAAAAAAATCCGAGTGTCGCCGATTTTGTTTTATACACTAATGTTATTATTTGAAGACATCCGAACATTAAATTTTATCATTTTTCGTCTAAAATAAAGGTCCTCCATGAAACCTGTAAACTGTAAAATATAATACAACTTTTTCATTTTTTATATTAAAATACAATATTAATAAAATTATTGCTTTTGCCATGTTTTAATAGTAGATATATTTTAACTAATAATTTTTTTTAGCGGCTATTGAACTGTTGATACAAATTCGGTTAAAAACTGTTATAATCATTCGACCAAAGAGTTAAGCACAAATATTTGTATTTAAATAAACAATTAAAAGCCAAAATACTGAAAACTAAAGTGCGATAAGATATTACATAGTCATGGTTCTTGTGCCCAATTTTATGAGACTTCATATACTTCATTTTATACAAGGACAAGACTAGTTTTTCTTACTATAGAATATTATTTAGGCAATTTATGCGTACTTGGACAATATATTTTATATAAGCGGTAAGCTCAAACAAACTACTATTATAAAGCACGCAATAAAATAGTACAATACAACAAGCGGATAACGCCTTAACAATAGAACTCGCGTTCCCTATTGTCTCTCACTTTTGACTCTAGTATGGATTACATGTAGCAAATTCAACCAACCTTAATGGCATAGTGAAATATTTTTTTAAAAAAAGACAGACTTACATAGTTCAATTTTTGTCTCTCTTTTCAAGATATTTTTCGAGTTTATTTGAGAATTGGTAAATAATTGCATTAAGTATATTTGAATATGCTAAACGGCCTCCGTATATAATATTATGATATTATAATTAGTTATTAAAGCGGAAATTGCACAAAAAAATGACAGGCCTAAACGGTTTTAGAATAAATCATTTTTTAATTTTTAGTCTTAGTTTAAACAGGCAAGCATCGGAACTGAGTAGACCGTTTGTATAAAAGTATTATTAGTATTTGTATAGAATTCATTTTTTCGTCACTGGAGTTTTATCGGAAAAATAAAATGTATTATTTACTCATAAAACTATCCTTATAGAAAAATAGTTTTATCCTGAGAGTTTTAAATTATTATTGTTTTTTTTAGTTTTAAATGTCAGTCATAACTTTTGTCAAAACTTATTGGCTATGGAAACCGACATTATTAAGATAATATATTTTTATTCGTAAAACAATGGTGTCAACTTAAATTTTGGGTGGAAGTTAACATTATCTTATTTTTGTAACTTAGGCTAGCCCTCATCCATTTTTTGATATTCAACATTTTCCATTTCTCTAGAATAACTCTAAAAACTTAAATTCATATTACCCCGAATTCTGATGTTTGCCAGAACAAAAAACAAATAGAATTATAAAAAATAATTAGTATCTAATTATATGTATGGAAAGCGCGTGCCAAAAACTGATTTTAAAACTCATACCTATTATTATTAAACGTTCAAGGGTCCATTTATGTTGGCCTGTGTAATATATATCATTATTGGTGTAACATTGATTGTGGATGCCTAAATACTTAAACTCAAACGGACTAACCCGGTTATTTTCTTAAAATAGTCTCACGTGTTGCAACGATAGGTTGATCTACCGTTTAATCTACAAAAAAATAAGCTCAATTTATGGCCCCACCGTACTTTGTAATTGGCTTTGAAAATATAAAAACAAAATGAAAATTTAATGTTTAGTTGTGTTTGTTCTACTACCAAAAAATTGATAAAATTCCATTTATGGATACTCGTTAAATTCGATGATGTCTTTAAAAATGAATAACTGTGTGTAGCTTTTATGTTGGTATATTATATTATAACTATGAACAATTATTTTGCTCGAATCAAATTATTAGAATAAAGGTATATAGTAATCCCTAAACATTTTCTAAGCTTTTTAATACTTAAACTGTTTTTATATTTACATAAATATTACATTTTCTTAATCATTTGTTTTAACGAACTCGAATAGGATGTAAATACATAGAATTTTATCAATTTTGAGTAAAAATTAAACTTTATTCATCGATTGTTCGTGGTTTTTTATTTTACCCAAATCCGATTGGAATGTGCATTTGGATAGGAGACCATTTTACGTTAACTTGTGGCTGCGTCGGTCCCAGCTGTGATTAATATGTAAACCGTTTTTCATGAGAGGAGAGAGTTACACATACCTTTTATACAAAAAAAAACCTTTTACTGCTTTTACACAACTAGTAGGGTTTTTCCGTTTTCGGTTTTAAATTTCAAACATACCGGTATGGTGAGCGCTATTATTCTCACTGCTCGAGAAACTTCCCTTAACTAAATAGTGGATATAGTCTAAGGTCAGGACCTAGCCTAACCTTTCCTAAGTGTCGGTCGTACCTAACAACCTATTATACTTTGGTTGGAAATTAGAGACAGTACACAGTATTTGATAAGTATACAGATTCGAGTCAACTCGGAAGCCTCCGGTGTTAGTTGTTTTTGCTTGGCAAATATATGGATTTCAAATGGACGGCGGTTACTATGACGTTACATGGCTATTATTATGATTTAAACGCAGTTTTACAAGACTATAGGTATCGTTAGAGTATATCTACTCGTTTGTGGCACATTAAAACATTCTGGTTAGGGCTTACCGTTGTGCTCGGGTTTCCGTAGTACGTAACGATGAATTATAAATATATTATTTATAATTTTATTATTTTCTGAATACACCGGTGATTTGGACGGCACAATGAGTGCCGGTCGGCCAAACCGACGCAACAGTTGGCATAATAGTTTATAAAATAAAAAATGTTCAAAGAACTCGGATGGGATAATTAAAAAAAAAAAAAAATACGAATTAAATGTGTTTAAAATTTTGATCCTGAATGAAAAACGGCCGACGGACGGACGACGGTAAAACGGCGGCGGCGGCGGCACAGCGACTGACCGGCGGCGGCGGTACGCGCAGTTCTAAATAAAAACTCTATCGGGCGCCCATTAAGCTCGTGCTTCTGTCGCTGCCGCCTGATGTTGGCCGCCGGTCGTCGGTGATCAACGGCGGCGGCGGCAGTGGCGTCAAGCGGACCGCTACGCATGCGTCATCGTCATTTGAAATAAAAAAAAAAAAAACGTTTTTCGCCGACGCGCTCGCTTACTCCCGGATTCTGTCGCTTATGCGCGCGCGCCCACCTGGAAGACGACGGACAATGCCGAATGTTAAATTTTATTTGATGCCCCGCGTGCGACACCGCGTTCACAGGCCACAGCATCCGCGGCCGTCCCGTGGTTTTTTTTTCGCGAGCTGTACCATTGACGGTGGCGGCGGTCAAACGTATTGGGAATTAAAAACGTATATTAATAAACTCCGGGCCGCCGTTTAAAAATATCGCACCGCCGTCGTCATTCGGCTACGGCGGCGGCGTACGTGGCCGACGCTATGCCACCGCCCCGAGCCGCCGAATGGGAAATAACGCATAATTATAATTATTTCGTACGGCCGTTGTTGTTGTTGTACATTGTCATTTGTCGTTAACCGACGACTATAATACGGCACACGGTAGTCGCGGCCCGATCTCGGTTACACGCCGTTAGCGAATTAATATTGTCCATTAACACACGGGTTCAATCGATACCATTATGGGAGGCATCATCGCGTATACTCGTTATTTATGTTTTTTATTGACAAAAGGTCTAATATACCTGTCCCGTCCAGAGTGGCACACGCCTTATTTATTAAGGTATTCGGTATAGGCAATTTTCATGCAGCATCTAAATAATGATTGAGGCGCATACAGCGAAAACGGCACAAATAGATTGAACTACTACATATTTTGTTTTAGTATAATTTTTCAAAAATATATCCATAGACGACGGTATTTCTGAAATTCAAAACCGTGTACAGTGTATTGATGTATATTTTTTTATTTTATGGATTGTAAGCAATTTTCGTTTTATGCGCCTCAATTTATAGTAAAAATAAATTTAAACTGTAGAAACTCTTTAGATCAGAAATTGTACCTAAAAAGGAATTTGTAAGGCAAAAAAATTCACTCCTTAAAATCGAGAAAACTCCCTTAAAAAGGACTTGATTTTAAACTTGCATGAAAGTTTAAATTTATAGTTCAATCATTTTTTAAAAAAATAGTCGTGTTGTTACAAATTTATATAGAATATTCTTTAGGCTAAATGATTGTTGCTAATTTAAATATAGGTCTGTTATGGTTTTTAAATTAGTGCACCAAATATATTCTATAATAGGTCTAATTTTAAAGACAACAAATAAAAATAAAGAAAAAATTATTTGCATGTACAATAAGTAATATAAATAAAAAATTAAAAACAAATTTAACCAAGTACAAATATGAAGAGCTAATACGGTTTTAAATATTTGAATATAAAAAAATTAAAAGTGCTCAACCTTATTTTAGTAAAATAAAAATTGAACCTCTTGCAATAAGTTATAAATGATAACACCTAAAGATCAATAACTTTCTCGATCCCACTTCACTCCGTTTTTTATGTATCAAATATTAAGATGTGTTTTTATAATGGCTGTTTGCACCAGTTAATTTTAAACAAAAAGAGTAAAAGTATATGTTAAATATTGTAATTAAACTGTAAGCTAATCTGGTAAAAACTATCGTTAGTTTTGGCCACTATAATTTAATGTACATATTACGTGGTTTTACTGTTCATCTGGGCCGATAGACAGTCACCAAAATCCAATAGTCCAATAGTCTTCAAATAACCTTTGGGCTTTTCTTTTATCAAAACCGTCCTAGTACTCGAAAATAAAAACGATAAACACGCTTTTATTTAATTATAGACAAACTAAAATCGTCTGCCCTCGATAGTTTTGTTCTTATTTTTATTTAACGACGACTATGACGACGGCTTATGTCACATAAAGTAACATATAACAGTCTGCATCAATGCTAATAGTAGTATCTAATAGGCGCGTACGAATATGTATACAATACATTTCGTATGTAAATTAAATACAAATACCGGAAGAAGTTTGCTACAAATGGCTTTAGAAAATACTACTAAAAAACCTGTCGTATAATCTCATCATTGTCGAGGATCGGAATGGGTTTTTTTATTAGGACAACTGCTTACTTAAATATGAATGATACCTATGTATTTTAGGATAAAAGTTGACACAATACGCTCGCTATGAATAGTTTGGTTGCATTAAAATAACATGATTGATACTATAAAGAACGTCAAATGATCGTAAAATAACTAAAAAACCGGAATTGTTGCAACCGGACGACGAACTAGTCAACCGACAAGATACACATGTATTGCATGTATATATGTACAAATAAAGTTTTCACTAGACGTATACTATATTTATATTACTCAATAATAATATGTAGAAGAGCAACAACAGAAATGGATTTAACTTCCTTCTTGTATATTTTATTTGTAACACTTTTTTCTATTTAATTTGATAAACTATTTTAATAAATGCCATCACAGTGGGCTCGAAGTAGTTGTACCGGGTCGCCTTTAATAACTAAATAAATTCTAATGCTTATAACTGAAAAATGGTCAAAATATTTTTCAGCCAAGTCTACAACCCTACAACCACGAAAGAGCATTTTCATGTCTCGTTGAAGTACTAAATAAATGTTGCCTCCTATCTCTTACCCTTCTCCCATTCCCTATCTTCAAGCTAATTCCTCATTCCCACCCTCCTCCACCCCTATCCCTCATCTCTAATCTCTTATCAGATACGCTTTTGTAACGCTTTTGTAACTAACAATTTTTTCGGTTATGTGCCAGAGCTAAGACATGTAAATGTCAAAAGATGCAATCGGTTTTGAAAAATACATTTCTATGCAAAACTATAGGCAGGGCTGATTTAAGAGGAGGTTAAACTTAGCCCTAGTCCAAGTCTTTGTTATTTTTTGTTTTATGTTTATTAGCAATTCAAAAAATCGTATCGCTGTTACAATTAAATACCTTAGGTCTGTTGAATTTTAACTAAACACTATGTATATAACACTGAAAACTATAAATTGTAACAGATATTTTGGGTTAACTGTGTATTGTGGTATATTTTTTTATTTTGGATTATTCTGGAATATATTTTAAAAAATATTTCTCCCTAATAAGTTATCCCTGTTTTTTTTTTTAATAAGTTATGTGTAATTTTTCTTATTGAATAAACTGGTTAAAAATTGAGTCACAATTAAAAGAGGTCAAAATTTGTATTTTACTGTATAATTATGATAAAAACATATTTCAACAATTTTTTTCAATCATAGAATTATCTGAGGCTTAAAATTATTACGATTTCTTTTCTTTCTTTTAAAAAAAAAACAATGGTTTTATGTAAGGAAGGGAATTACAGTTTGTTAATTATGAATAACTAGGTTTAAATCTTTAAATATGATGCAAACCAGTAAGTTAAAAAAAAATGTTTATAAGTCAGTGAAACTTTTATTTTTAGACAGCAATATCCGAAAATTAAAACAAAAATCACATTATTTAACATGTTTGACTTTTGGGTTTTGGTTTTTGAGAAGAGTTGTAAACGTTTTAAACAAAATTCCGTTTTGTTAACGTACATAACAGATTTAATAATACTCGGTAGCTATATGATAGGTATAAATGCTAAATAAAAAAAAACAAGTTTCGACACTTAGTTAAGTACGACAACGAGGAAGTTATGACTATTTGGACTGTTAACGTAAAACCATAGTATAAAATTAATACTCTATCAATTAAATATATTGTCGAAATCATTTGAAAAAAAGCCCCGAGTGTTTTTATTACCGAATGATTTAATATTAAAATATCGAAGGCCAAAGAAATAAAACACCGTTATGAGTCAAAAGGCAAGTCAGAAGCCACCACCATTTTTATGGTGACCTGATGTAATAATGTTATAGCATACAAATAACATAATATTATAATATTACAACTAAACATCTTTATAAGATCTTCATAATATATTTATGTATAAGACTGTTTAATTACCCGCTATAGATTATTTGTTGACCATAAAGTAGTCGATACAAATGTTATAAATGATATAATTAGTAAAAGTTTTTGAGAAGTAAACCGTGTACATATCAAACTTACCGTTAACAACGGTTCACTGCGATTTTCAAATACTTTTACTGTTCATGAGGAAGGCAATAACTAATAATAGGAATGACCAATAAGGAAACGATTAAAACTTACGATTGCTGACCTGGATAAATTTAAATTTATAAACCAAACACTATTTGGGATGTTGGAGATAATCACTTTAAACCTGAAAGCAAAGTTTGCAGGTAAATTATTTTAATAGGCGGACCAAAGATTGAAAATGTGGCGTCGTAAGATAAGAGTGAAATCAGACCATGGAATTAAGATTAAACAATCGTGTATTAAATTTGAGGAAGATGTGGCCAAACAAATTTCTTCGCTGTAATAAAAAGAAAAATACAATTAATTATAATAAGTCGCAATAATAATTTTGACATAAAAACGAATTTGTTATTTGTTTTATAACGCGGTCCAACGAGATCAGGCAAATGCGCTTCCGACGTCTTACAGCAGTTCCACCGCGGAATTCACTTGAAATGAAACCAGCCTCGACCAGTCGTCAGCCGAGTAGATTATTTGTCATAATAAAATAGTTATAATAATATGCAACGGTGGATTAATAAAAATAAAAAAACCCGATCGAATGACATAACGCCGGAATGCAAAACCCGGAGAAAGCATTTATTTTAACTTAAATGCGATAGTAAATATATACATATTTAATCGATGTAGCCTGTGCAATTATTAATAATAATAATTTTTTTCTTCTGTAAATTTTCTAGTGGGGAAGAACATATAATATTATGATTCCGGATTATCTGCTTAATATAAAACACAGATCTGTCCAACGAAAGTTACCAGATCAATGACGATTTCACACCGGTTGAGACGGAAACACACAGCAGCGAAGCCATGAGACATACAAAGGTAAAACAAACAGAATACAAATAAACAAATTATACCTACTTAAGTTTTTTTTTACATGTTTTTTACATTAATACATTTTCGGGCTTTATTTTAAAATGTACCTTTAATGTATTTTAAAATGTAATTTAAATATGTTATACTTGGAATCTTATCACGTTTAGTGAAAAGTGAATTTTTTCAAACGTTATATTAGTGCTTAAATATAAAAACAAATATTTTATAACCGAATTTATTGGACTAACAATTTGATGCCTATGCGTTTTCCAATAGGTACATCGTTACTTATTTGAGTAATATTTAATTTTTTGTTTTTTTTTTTAAATTAAAAAAGTAAACCATATTATATTTGTTTAAATTTATTACAAATACCATTTTATTTGTTATATTTATTTTTCATGTTTAATTTCAAAAACGGTTGTAAACAGCAGTGTTAATGTAAATGTTGATATTTAAACATTAATGAACATTTTCGAAAACTAGTATTTTTTATTATCGAGGTAAGTTTTTATCCTCTGACTTTCCAATTACAGAGCTTTAGTATGAATTGTATAGCCAATATTTTAGTGCGGGTTTTTTTATATTTATGTTTATAACCTTACATATAAAATATATGTAACCTAGTTTAGAACCAATTTCATCTGACATGATACAGTCAGTTTTATAGTCTCTCTATCTACTCTTTATCAAATTATAACTGCTTTTATTTGTTCATATTAATCTGATTTTAATTTTTTGGCCTCAATAATCAAAATAAATCGTTCTACAAAATGGTTTTTAAACATTGCTAAAACAAACTTATGAAAGAGTTTGAATTTGTTCTTTTGGAAATCATGACAGCAGAACTGATTTTAATCATAAATCATTAAAAAAAACCTACACTACAATATGTCGTTCCTCGACATTTACCTAATTTAACATTTACCTAGTTAAATCTACCGACTTTCCAATTATTTAACACACCGTTAAAGTATAGGAAATGTGATCTATATTTGACTAATAATTTATTGATAAATATTCTAACAATTGTAAAAAATACTGACGATATTTTGTTTTACCTAGCGTTTGTGTAATTAATTTAAAATCCTTATGCTCAAATTATATGTTTAATTTTGATAATTGATATAGCATTCCGAGTTAAACCCTAGTCACTAGTATTGAAATTTATAAATAAAAATATCAATAAATAATTAAAAAATAACATTTTTTTTACTGACTTAAATTGTAAAAACTCCGTTTTTCTTATTTTCAGTGTTTGGTTCGTTTAAATAATTTTATAAAATCTATTTCAAATACAGTTTTTTATCATATTTTAATTAATATTTTTTTTAACGCAAAAGAAAATTGATTTTTGTTTTTTAAATACTTGAAAGAGAGCAGATTCGGATTCAGCAAAACTTTCTATATAATGCATATTAATTGGCTTTTGTTCCAAGTAGGTACAATCTAATAATCTTTATTCAAATATTAAAAATACGATAACAACTAGTTTGAACTTTTATTATAACTCTCAAGTACATACATTTTCTAGGATTTGTTTTCGTTGAACCTAAATCTAGTCTTAGATATTCTCTAGCACGTCAAGTTGATTTTTTAGTAGCCTCCTATGTTGTAAGCAAATCATTGTCTATTTTTGTTTTATGTTTAAAATAAAATGCAAATACACCTTCAAAATAATTCCGAGTCCAATTTTTCTAAATTCGAAAAATAATATAAAAAAATGTTGTAATAAATTATGGAAAATTATTAAAACGTATAGAACCTAAAACAAAGACTACAAAACAGTATTTTTTTGCAACTATGGAGACGATTAAAAAATAACTAGACGCGCAAGAAAATCTAAGGCCAGACTCAGATTCAGCAAAAAAAATCTTATAAATGGTATAGTTAAGTTCTTATTTTTAAATAGGTCAACTTTTTTTTTTTTTTGTAAAAAGTTATTTCATGTCTAGGTGATACACTTTTGTGTGAAACTGGGCAGTTTAGGCGCATGAATAAAATTAACGGTGAAGAGTGTATCTACATATTTTAATAGGTTTTTTTTTTTAATTTTACTTACCAAGTTGAACTCTTGATAATTGAGTTTGTTCCTGGATAAATATGCCTTAAAACTGTTCAGATTTTCAGGAAAGTGCATCCCTCGAGACATGTTATTATACAAAAATAAAGCCTGGCTGCGTTATAACTTACATACATTAAAATATATTATTCATATCAATACGTGTAAATGCGTCCCTGCTTTGTTATTATATGAATATAAATATGTTAGCTTCATGAGAAATTTTATCGAAAAATCGTCTACAGTTTATTTCTCAACAAAAAATAAAGGGTTTGACACTCTTAAAAGTAATTTTATTTTTATGATATGCAATTAACATCACGTTTTTGTTTGTTTTTAGTTAATGTTTGTTGTCGGATTAACATTGTTGGGTTACTGTTTGGCTGAATCAACCCCTTCGCCCAAGAACGATGACAAAAAAGACGAAAAGTCCGCAAAAAAGGGGAAAACCGGTAAGAAAAACTCTAAACGCAGTCTTTTTGGTTTCGGATTCGATTATTTTGGATTATCCGATTTCGACGACACGTTCGGATACGGTTTCGGCGAGCCCACTTACTTGCCGGGCGCTGGCTTAGCGTCGTTTGGGTTACCCGAATTTAACCAGTTCCGCGGTTACAATGACTTACACGGTAGCGGTATTTATCCATCACCATTGCTAGAGGCCGGCCGTTCCGCTGGTTACGGCTATGGTTACCCGGCTAACTATGGGAAAAACCAACTATTTGCACGCCAATTTCCGTTGTCGCGATTTTACAATCGTGCACTTTTTCCCTTACCAAACGGTGTACCAAGGCCATATCTTGTGGATGAACCTCGGCCTGTCCAGACTCCCAATCCTGCCAACTCGTACCCAACGAACCGACATATATCAATGTTTGACATACTTCGGAATTATAATCCGGCACTCGGACAACGGCTACCTTATGGCTTGGAGAATCCGGCCACCGCTTCAGGACATCCTCAACAGATACCAGAATCGCCTGCACCAGCGACCGATTACCGTTACAGAATAGCTCAGGCCGTGGTGGCCGCTCCACAACCTTCAGGCTATACGTTGGCCGCTATATTAAAGTCCGGTTATTCAGCGGCTACTTCACCACATTCGGCTCAAGCACCTCCAGCTTCGAGTTATCTTGCAGCCGTTCCATCAGCTTCCGGTTATTCTTCACCTGTTTCTTCTGGTTACTCTGTGTCTGCTCAACCACTTCCCAGTTATTCAGCAGCATCAGCTCCATCATCTTACGGTAATCCTGCATCAGCTCCGTCATCTTACGGTAATCCTGCATCTGCTCCATCATCTTACGGTAATCCTGCACCAGCTCCGTCATCTTACGGTAATCCTGCATCAGCTCCGTCATCTTACGGTAATCCTGCATCTGCTCCAACATCTTACGGTAATCCTGCACCAGCTCCATCATCTTACGGTAATCCTGCATCAGCTCCGTCATCTTACGGTAATCCTGCATCTGCTCCATCATCTTACGGTTACCCTACATCTGCTAGTCCAGCCTTAGGTTATCCCGCAGTCGGTCTATCAGCTTACAGTTACCCTGCATTAGCTCCATCATCTTACAGTAATCCTGCATCTGCTCCATCAGCTACCAATTATCCTGTATCTGCTCCATTGGCTTCTGAGTATTCTACTTATGCAGCTTTACACTACCCCGCAGTCGCTCAATCGGCTACTAGCAACTCCGCGTCTGCCCAATCTGCTTCTGGTTACTCTGCGTCTGCTCAGTCGCTTCCCAATTATTCTGCAGTACCAGCTCCATCAGCTTCCGGTTACTCCTCGTCTGTCCCATCTGCTTCCAGTTACTCTGCGATTACTCCAGGTAAGTCTACAGGCAGTCCATACCTCCGGTTCAAATCTGTCGCCTCCTACTACGACTACGACGGCAACGCTCAACAAGAACAACAGTCCAACGGTCAAAGTTATGGCAAGAATAGCGCAGTTAGCGATTACCAGCATTCCTCTTCGGTGGACGATTCAGCGTCCAATGATGATGGTGGCGACGACTCCACCGGATACCAACAGCAGGCGTCTTCGGAAGACGATTCGGCGTCCAGCGGTTACAGAAAAAGAAGAAGCCGCAAGCACAAAGGCAACCAATCTAACCGAACCAAAGCTTAAAAAACATCTGACATATAAAATGTATAATGATCGTTTGTTGTAAATTTAATTTATTATTATTGTTAACTTTTATTTTTATATATTTATAGTCGTCAACAGCCGCGTGTAGTTGTATTATAGTTTTTTTTATACTTTTGTATACTAGTCGCTATCAATCTGTTAAAATATACTTACTGATTATATTTTTAGAAATAAATAAAAAACCGCTGCCGGTTTAATTTAAGCCGGTTAAGATCAATGTGCTACAAGCAAAACAAAATGCTTGCACCTCAATCATTAAGTATGGAATAATTTCACTACTATTTGGCATTCAAATTAAGCAATCGCTTAACAACTTTTGAACGTTTAAATAAATGACGAACAACAAGTAAAATCTGATGTTTTTTGAACGGTCAGTACAAAGGCTCAAATTCAATTTAAATTAATTACGAGCACAATAGTTTGTGTAAAATCATTATTTTTAGTCAGTATACAAATATATTTATTGGATTTATATTGTAAGTATTGCTACTTTGTGTCTACAATTGACAATTACTACCTAAATTAGCTACATTTTGAATAATACAATAATAGATCAAAATTTTAATACAGCTTTGGCTTGAAATACAGACATTTCTTCAGAATATATTTTTATATAATTTACATAAAAAAAAACAATGAAAGAAACATTATCCTTTAACTAATTAATGGACAGTAGACTAAAAGTGTTGACTTATTATATGTTGATAATAACTGAAGTGATGACTTCCATAACTTGTTAAATCATTTTGTGAAAAAAAAATAATGATTAAGTAATGAATGCTAAAGAAATAATATTTGGTTATCTGATTTTTAAGATGTCCACTTAATAGTTGTTAAATAACATTTTTTTTAAGAATAAATAGTTAATTACTTTTGTACACAAAAACGACAATAATTATTGTCAATTAATATTACAATACTTGTTTGTGGTTAAAAGAAAAAGATTTACTGGAACGTTAAGTTTCAGCCAGTATAATATTATACAATAAGATCCTAGTAAATGCTAAAAAACTAACTTTGAATAACACATACAATTTAATAAATACATAAAATTCGAGTACCATAGTTACAAGTTTTTATTTTTACAACTCTTTAAAGATTGAAAAAAAATATACATATATTATATTCATCAGGATTTTTATTTTTTTAACAATAATTTGATAAAATAATCGATATTTAACTTGTTTACACACAGTATATTATTTTGGTTTATGTAAAGCAAACATTCTTTATTTAGCACCTTGCTGCTTATCTAAAATTGCTTTAATGTCATCGGCATCCAATGTTTCATACTGCAGCAAAGCTTCGGCCAATTGTTTGTGCTCTTTACGATGGTTGTGTAATATGCTCTTCGCTCGCTCATACGATTCCTTAAAACAAATATTACAGTTACACACTATCAAAATAAAGTAATTGGCAATTAAAAACAAAAATCTATGTTTAATAATAGTGTCATATTTATTTTATTTATTTATAGATTAATAAAAAACAACAAAGTATTCATTTTTTTGTTGAAAATTACCTGTAATATCCTTTTGATTTCATTGTCAATAAGTTCATTTGTAGATGGACTCAAGTCGTTAAAACTCATCAGTTCGTTAGAACGATTCTCGTGTGCTCGTAGACCAACTTTGTCAGACATGCCTAGTTCTTTGACCATTCTAGTGGCTATATTGGTTGCTTTCTACATAAATGAGTTGTAAAACATTTATACTTTAAAAGTAAGTAAAAATAAAAAAAATAAGTATAAACTAATAACTAACTTTTAAGTCATCTGATGCTCCCGTAGTGACTTTATCGGGACCAAATATCAATTCTTCAGCTGCACGTCCTCCCATCATCGTATCCATAATGGCTAACAGTCTAGATTTTGTAATGTGATACTCTTCTTTTTCGGGAATGTATGCCGTCTATTGTAAGCAAGTATAAAATACAACAACGAAACCGTTTTCAAAAGGGAATGAAGACTTTCATACAACACAATAGTAATTAACAAATAAACTCACATGGCCAAGCGATGAACCTCTTGGCATTATTGTAACTTTATGTAGAGGATAAGAATCCTGGGTAAAATAGGCAACAAGCGTGTGACCGCCTTCGTGATAAGCAGTTAATTTGTTAGCTTCTTCGTCGGGGATTTTGGTTTTTTTTTCTGGACCTACGGGTATTGCAATATTAGTAAATAATTGATATCCATAGACCTTATTAAAATCAATAATGATAGGATGCTATAATAGCACATTTACCCATCAATATTTTGTCTCTGGCTATTTCCAAGTGTTTCATGGAAACTGTTTTTGCACCTTCACTCGCAGCTTTTAGGGCCGCTTGGTTAACCATATTTTCAATGTCTGCTCCGGTGAAGCCACTCGATCCTCTAGCTAATAGATCTACATTGATGTCTTTGCAAAGTATTTTCGTTAGATACAGATCTAAAATTTGCTTGCGGCCTGCATAATCCGGAATAGGAACCTAAAACAATTGTTTTGTTTTTATTATTGTCTGTACAACTTTCATAGAACATTAAATAATTTATATACTTCAGCGATGGTGTACTGGGCAGGGTTTAGAATACAAGAATTTAAAATACGTTTGTATGTCAGTCTACCTAAACATTTATCGATTTTCCTTAAACCCTTTGCAATGTAATTTTGATTGTATATACTTTAGTGTTAACTAATAAAACATAGAAGTTTCTTAATTAAAATTTTTAGCAAAACCCCACATTTCTATTTGGTTATTTCCCGAAGACAAGTAATTTAGTGACAAATTAATTAAGTGTTTTAAAACAAAAACATAATAAGCACTTTTAGACAATTTGTTCTATAAATGAGACATCAAATCTATTGTTATTTTATTAATTTAAATTTAGTTAAATTAAATTCATGACTGAAAAGGTTAGTTAAGTTTTACGGTGGTTAAAATAATTTGAGATAAAAATCATGAATTCTAAATGTATAAAAAAAACTTGAAATAGTGTGGGACTAAACAAATTATTACAAATAAAACAATTGTTAATAACTAATAATTCTATTCAACTTATAAATATTAAACAATGTTTAAAGTTTTTAAGAGTACAATTGAATTATTTATTAGTTAGCATTTTAGTATATACATTCAAAAGTACATTGCAAAATGTTCCAGGAAAATTTGTTAAGATTGACTGTAAGCATAGAACTTTTTTTTTGTCGAATTTGACTAAATTTATATTGTATTTTATACTATCAACAAAATACATTATTTTGCCCATCCCTGTACATTATGAATAACTATCACTCACATCAACTTCAATATCGAAACGACCAGGTCGTAGTAATGCTCGGTCTAAATCATCACGTCTGTTGGTTGCACCAAGAACAATTATGTTTTGATTCTGATGAAACCTGCACAGTTCAAACTTTTAAAATTGACCTTAATGTTTATTTTTAAGTCTATATTGTTTACCCGTCCATTTCTGTGAGTAGCTGGTTTATTGTTTGGTTGGCATACGGATGTAAAACGGAATTGGTCCTCTTAGAGCCAACCGAATCAATTTCATCAATGAACACGACACAAGGTGCTTTTTCTTTTGCCGCTTCTACAATTGCATCAGTTCATTAAGAAAATATTGGCATAGATTTATCTCAAAGACAATGACTGTCACAATGTTCCATATAAATATGCTCTTAGTATTATTTAATTTTACTAACTGAATAAATCGCGGATACGTCTGGCTCCTTGTCCGACTAATATCTCATCAAATTCTGATCCGGCGGCATGAAAAAAAGGAACTCCCGCTTCTCCAGCTACAGCTCGCGCTAACAATGTTTTGCCAGTACCGGGTGGCCCAACTAGTAGTACTCCTACATTGAAAAATATTACTTGGTTAATTTTTAATTATTTTATTTCATAATTACAATCAAGTCCATCATTCTCTTTCCACACGCCTACATGATTTAACAGTATGGTCGAAGATAACCAGTATGATATTTTTACCTTTTGGTAATTTGCCGCCAAGAGCGGAAAATTTGGCTGGATGTTTTAGGAACTCCACGATGTCTCTTAGTTCTTGTTTAGCTTCGTCTACCTGCATTCGAAAAATATTTTATAATACATTATAGTCAATACAATAAATAAAAATTAAAACAATGCATTAATTACTCCTTTAACATCATTAAATGTAACTGTTATTTCTTCAGAGTTCACTTCAACTTGGTTTGAAAGTTGTATTTTAAACATGGTCCCTGTCATTACCACTAAAAGTATAACAGTATGAATGTTTATAAAATACAATTTACAATAATAAATTTAAACCTTTAGTCGGTAGCGTGGTTTCCAGCCAGACTTAAATTAAATGTGACTTAGGTAAACTTTTTACGTCAGTCAAATGAACTATAATATGTGACTGGGGTAAAGTTGTACACCGCGTTATCGATAGAAGGTTAACAAAACTAAATAGGTATAATAATATTACTGAATAAAGTGACCAGTGTAGATATCGCTAAAACAACAAACACTCCCGACTGAAGCATTTTCCATACTTTTTGAGATTTGGTCTTTGGGTCTTTCTTTTCAGAGCCCACTAAGTATCCTTCGGCAAAACATAACTTCAGTCTGTTTAATTCATCTTCCTTCATCAAGCCTAAATTATAAAAACCATATTTTAAACTAAGATTTATCAATTATACATTAAATGGAATTTGTTACAAAATTATAATGCTTTCCACTATTTAGCTGAAACAAGTATGATCAATATGTTTACCCTTCCAATCTTTTTCATCAAACAACTGATTCGTGTCCTTTTTATAAATGTCTTTGTCGGACAACTTTGCCCAGTCTATAATGCGAGAGCTTATCGTATCATTTTTATATTTTTCAATAATACGTTCAGTCTTAAAGCTTCGGATTTGGGTATCTGTAAAAAAAGGAATGATATAAATAAACTAAAAACAAAAATATTTAAAAAAAAATAACTTTTTATATTTAACAGTTTAGGCCAATCAAATATTCACCATTCTAATTTTTATCACGAGCCCCTCCTCATAGAAAAATATCAAACTACTAATGTTATAATGAATAATAACTGTTATTATTTATATTGATAATATCTTTAAAAATATTAATAAAAACTAATTGTAAGTAATTTTAATAACTGAATACATAAAAAAATCTAAATCTAAATAAATGATAAAAATAAAAATGACAAAACATTGTGCAATATTTACCTGCATAATAGGGTCTAGGTCGATACAAAAACAATTTGGCAGTTGAATCATGTTTACTTGACACAATTAAACAATTACTGTTAGCGTCGACTGTATAATAACACCTTTTTCCAACTTTTTTGTTTAATGTTTTTTGCAATAAACCCACATAATGTTGATGTTTTTTTACATTATGATAAGCTGGGATCCCAGGATAATTTTTTAAACATTTTTCTAATTTTTCAAGAGGAACATTGTCAGTAATCTAAAAAAACAACAAAATAACAATTTAGTTTTATTGGTAATTTTTTCTTAGTAGGATTTTTTGTTTTTATGAATTTAATTATTGATAATAGTTATAATGATGATATTTTTGTCGAACCATTAAGCGTTTTTTTTTTTAGGTGTAAAGAATTACATTAGTTGGGTTGTAGATTAAATAAGAGCATTGATTTTAAAATATACAGATAAGTGAAGCTACACACGAGCGTAACTAGAGACTAAAGCGCCCAGAAGCAAGCTTTTTTTGGCGCCCCATATTATAATATGTTAATGTGTATAGTAAACTGTACAAAAACGCCATAAAACAACATAAAATTGAATGTGTCTAGGGGCAGCTGCCTCCCCCCTGCACCCACAGAAGCTACTCCACTGTTTACAAGATCGGCAACCTATTTTAAGGAGGATTTCCACAGTAAACAGAGGAATCCTGGCCAAAGTTTAACATTGATCAGTCTATAAACTATGATGAGGGTACCTTTTGTATATCTGTATATTTTAAAAATCAACGGTAAAAGCTAAGAAAGTAATAATTATGTTTTCTAAACAGTGTTTAAATAAATAAATTAGAATGTTCGACAATAGATTAACAGCCCATTCTGAATGTTAAAATGGTTAAATAACCTTTATCGATGACAGGATTTAAAGAGCATTTAAATCAGTACAGTAGGTACTATTATTAATAAGATGTTACATGTTACTTACCGATTTCAAGTAATCTGGCAACAATGTCTGTTCTAAAGTCCTGTTTTGAGGGTCAGTTTTATTTTGCTGTATTAAATGTGTTTTTGGTCTCTGCACAGTCACTCTAGGCGAGAAAGCTGCCGCTAACTGAAATTAAAACCCAAAATTAGAAATAACCTAGCTCATTTTTTAGTCACACAAGTGTATTACTATCAAGCCTATAGTGTCTATTGGGTCAAGAGTAAAGCAACCATTTTATCATATCAATATGTATATAGTTGACTTGTGGCTCATTAGTTTAAGCCATTTAATACGTCTACGATTTAACACATGCAAATTTTATACACATTGATTTAAGAGTTTGATAAAATTATAAAGCATAACGTTCACTCTTGTTACAATGTATGCTACACTGTTGTGTTAATTCAGTAGATAACATATAAAAATTACATATTAACAGACAATGAAAATTATAATAATGTGTCATGGGATTATCATAGCTACTAATTTAAAACTTAATATATTAAGCTTTTATCTGTTACCCTAGAATTAAAAAAGATAACAGTATTGTTAAAATAGTATGTTTTAAAAAATTTATCATTTAACAATCAAATAAATTTTATTAAGGTATTCTGCGTCTGTTACAAGATAGATTGATAGCAAATGGGTAACAAGCGAAACAATAGGACACAAATTTTTCGATAAACATCCCATCCTACAATGCAATTAGTAAAACATGGTTATTCATTACTGTGTTAACGATAACTCAAGGTGTTTACAATATTGCACACCGTTGGAGCAACGCGATCAGAGATGACAAATGTAGGACAGATTACGAGTTGATCGATTCGAGTAGTTTCTTACCTGTGTCGGAACCGTAAATCCTAGTGTGAACATAATAGTTTACAACGAGAATAAATACCGAAAGAATCTCAGTGAAAGGTTTATGTGGTATGGCTGTTGGTAAACAATTTTGAAGTTCGATAGAATCTTGATTGAATCGCACACGAATATATTATATCCAAAAAATATATATATTAGTGTTGTTGTCAACGCGATTACACTGCCGTTAAATCTCGTCCGCTACTTGGATAGTGTTCGGCCGAGTTTTGTTTTGGCCAATCGCCAAAACTCCGGGAAACGAATATTTCAATAATAAATATCAATATATTTTAATCTGTAGTGTTCACAAAATTACTATGAATTACTTTGGGTTTGGTGTAGAAAATGGAGAGCCCACAATGACGAACGTTATCACGTTGGTTCCCACCGCCGTGTAGGTACATTGGAGGTACCAAAGCGTGTACCCGTTTTTAATGTTAACACAGCTGATAACATACCTGCTACCGATGTAGGTAACCTAGCAGTGACCTTATTACCACTTACCAGACAAACAAAAACAATAATTTGATAGATGATACGCAGATTACGCACAACGACAGAATAAAGGATAACCATAACCCACAAAAAAAAAACATGTTTAGTTTTGTTACATTAATCAGGCACTTTAAATTAATGCAAAATACTTCAAAACCAAATCTACCCTACATTAAAAAAAAATTTTCCGCTAAATGGTAGAACTTCATTTTTTTGGAATGGGTTTAGCTTTTCCTTACATAATTAGATTTGTTAAGCTTTTTTAGCGCCACGCACCTTATTAAACATAATATTTCAAAGAACGATGAAAAGGCCCTCATTTTTCAAGTAATTTTTTTTTTTTTTAGAGCAATTTTTATGTTTTAAATTGGTTGGAAGTAAAGTTTATCTTATCACTAAAAAGTTCCATTCGTGGAGCAAAATTAGAATATTAAAAAAAATATCAACATAATATACTTCAATGAAATATCATAATAATACTCGAAATTAAGTTTACTATTTATTATTATATTATTATTTACATTCAAGCATTTAAAAAAAAAACTTTAAATAACAAAATTGTTGTTGTACCTACATTAGAATAATAAGTTTTATAGTAAATCCCATTTGAAAATCGAATGTTATCTCGTTTTTTTTAGCGTTTTATCTATGTTATGATTTTATTACATTTTTCAAACAAAAATGTCGATGTACTCGTTTTTTAAAAATGTACTTAATTTGGAAAGATTCTGACATTGAAGTTCTTTTATTAAAAAAAAATAACAAAATGATAAAATTAATAAGTAGGTAACGTCATATTGTGTAACAGAAATAATAATAATTGTATAAAAATTTGCCCTTGTTTTTCAAAGTTAATTATGATTAGCAACATCATAAAGTATCTATCACATAATAATAACATTATTATATTGTACCACTTTTGTTTTTTTATTTACTGTATAAAACAATTTTATTTTCAATACCTTCGTTGCAAGTCTGGTTTAATAAGTTAATTCTAGTACTAAAAATACAATTTAGCACTTTATTGTTTTTACAATGGTTATTCTTGGTACTTAATATTTACAGATTAGCATCGAAGCATTTATTTAAAAGTGTTTTTAACTCTTTTAGTTATAATGATCATTAAAACCTCATGACCCCTATACGCTTTGTCCCACTTTACTTTTTTATTATCGCGAATCGCATTAATTGTAAAAAATAATTGCAAAAAAATAAGTGCAGCTTAATACAATCTGTAGTGTAAAGTAGTATAGTAATGATAGAAACTTTTAATATTATACAATATTCAAATCCATGATAAAAATGAAAAAACAAACATAATTAATGATAAAAGCTGCTCCAAGGAATCCTCTATATTTTCTTTAGTGAGTTGTAATTTTTGGAAATTATACTGGAAGATTAATTAGTTTGTCCGTGTAACACTTCTTATCATGTAGTCTGTTCATGGTTTATGTATATTGCGTAGGTTTATACTTGCCTGTTTTTTTTTTAACAAATACTTGTAAGAAAAAACAGATTACCTCCTTAAAAAATTACTATAAAACATATTTTTCGCGATTTTTCAGTCTCCTGATGTTAACATGTATTGTAACCTTGTTTAATGCTTATGACAGCTTATTTGTAACTTATCTAAAAAAAACTACCATAATCGAGTAGAAAGATGTCAATCAACATAACAAAACTATTTGGCTGGTTATAATGGAACATTATAATAGCTTTTTTCGTATACATATATATATATATATACATATATATATATACATATATATATATACTATACTGACAAAATCGCTTAAAAAATACACAACTGGTATACTGAAAAAAAATATATGGTACGGTATTGATATATTTATGTATTAAACGTATTACATTAAAAAAAACAAGGTGTTAAAAAATGATGTTTTGCATAATGGATTTTGGTAGCACCAAATCTGTCACGTGTCAAGTTATCAGGTTTTAAAATAATCTATCTATTATTATAATATGCGTTTAAATAATAGTCATATTATGTAAAACCATAACTCTTAAAAAATATTTTCCTCCTATATTATACAAGTATATTATGTTTAATAATTAATATTTACGATACTATTAGTATCGTACTTAGAACAATAATAGTTCTTGAATGATATATTTATTCAAATTAAATACTATTACTTTTCTAGTTATTAAAAATTTACCCATTCATAAACCTTTTTTTAGAAGTGTTTGATTACCCATAATTTAATCTATCAAATATAAATATTAAATATATAAGTTCAAAAATTTAAGTAATTGACCATTACGCTTTAATTTCATGCTTGATAAAACTAAAAAATAAATGCACAATACCAGTAAGAGGATTATAGGGCATAGACTATATTTATTTTTATGTTATCTTGTCGATAAACAAAGTATACAATGTATTGATGGCACATTGTTTGGAAAGGTTTAGGATTAGGAATTCTGATAATTTTTAAATAAAATATGCAGTAGGTATAACTAATTATTTTTAGATATTTTTAAAAATTTTATTAGTTTGCTGATTATAAAAATATGTTATGACTTAATAATCTGTGTTAATGTAAAATGAAGAACTTATATTTAATTAAATATAATATTTTATAGATGATAGGAAACTTTTAAAAGTCAATTAGCAATCTATATTACCCTAAATAATACTGGGTTTGCTAATAAAAATCAAAACATCAAATAATGGTAAATAGAATGCAAATTATGGACAGTCGATCAACAGTTAATTATTCAAGGACACAAAAATCTACTATTTTTCAAAAAGTATACTTGAGACTTTTTTTAACGAACCCGGCGAAGTCATACTAGCAAAGTTTTATTATGCAGTTTTTTATAAAAATATTTATTACTTTGTGAAAAAAAAATTGCTGTATTATGGCATTTTAAAAACCTTGTAGAGCAATTTTTTTATTTTTTTTTTACTTTAATGCAAAGCTTTTATAACTCGGGTTATGTGTTCACGACGGGTTGACAACATAAACCTATATAAACCTTATAGGGCTCTTGGTTGACGCAAATAGTCATTGTATGTTGGGTGGTATTTTCTTTGTGATCAAGGGGTTATGTTATATTCCCCTGTAGCACACCGAGCCATTTACCGACCGCCATCGGCCAATTTACATGCAAACAGCAATGTAGACCGGCTCAAATTGTCATGTATATCGGTCGTATAGTATAGTAATATTATTATTATGATAATATGTAAAACGTTTTTTTTTCCAACTATCCATGCTTGTTATGAATATATAACAACATCAAAAGGACGTTATACCTCCTCATTCTTAAGGAGTTCGGTATAGGGATTTGTTTTGCAAAAACTTAATTTAAAGGTTAAATTGTAATGTGTAATTTTTAGTTTTGGTAATTAAGACTCCTTTTTGGTAGTTAATTTATTTTCCCCGCTATCATAACATCCTTGACAACGGTTTTTCCTTTGTCATTTGAACATAACTATATACACAGAATGCGTTTTACACAAGTTTAACATCTTCTCTATAGGGACTTAAAGGCCAAATTTTATTTCTGTTTTTTAAATTGTATTATATATAAACGTTTATATTTTTACTTTTTATCGTTTTTTTTTTAAATAAATCTAACTAACATTCAAATAGCTTAATCAATAATCGGCCTTTTAGCCCTCATAGAGAAAATAGTAAGCTTCCCATAAACAAAATAAAAACTGAAATCCGCCTAATAAATACGCCGGAAAATTACTTTTACGACAGGTAATTTTTATCAAACTTTCGTCATAACTCGGAGAAAAATATCTTTAAACGATTTATAACTACAATAAACTTAATATATTTTTACATTAAAATCAGTCGACATATTTAAAGTGGTTACTAGATAAATGTTTGCCAAATATTGCCTATCCTTGCCCCTTAATAAATAATGCTTTCCGTTCCCCTGTATATCATGTTCCTATACATTATAATATTATATTATTCACGGTAATGGAATAGGGCCGTCCGGGTGACGCGAGGCAACTTAGCGGGGCTCCTTATCAAGGCCGGGTTTTCGGCAAGACACAAAAGAGATTAGGTTAGTTAGAATATTATATGATATTATCAAATATCAAGTCATCGTCGTTATTATTTATACACCGCACATATTGTGTGTACTTAAGTGGATACACAACCAATAAGCTCTGTGACAAGCCGCACGGCGTAGGTACAATATAATCAATTGACCTAGATGTAACTTCATCTCAATGTACCACACGTAAAACATCACTATTATTATTATTGTGAAAATATTTATTGTTTTCAATTTGTTCAAAAAGTATGTATGAAGACAAAAAAAAATCCAACCGAAAAACAGCTAACAAGGAGAGCTATAACTTCTCAATGCACGTGCTATACTACACTATTACAATGTAACTAATGTATTTGTTATTTATAATATAGTCTTTATCAAATCTGATGTTGTAAATTGGAATTATCATATTTTTACCACTGATACATTTTATTTTCCAAAACCATATTCAGGAATACCGACGAAATAATGTGTGTTTTTTAAACACTTAAACTAAACCATCTTTTACACTATATTTGTTAGATTCCAGCAGATCTGAACAATTTTTTATTTCTGTAATTAACAAATATAAATTAACTATTATGTATTGAATTATTTAAAATGCAATTTTTTATTTCAAACACTTTACTAGGTATTCAACGATTGAACAATGACTTTAGAATTGTATTTTTAGTTCATAATATTAAATATCTATGTAATGTTATAATACCATCAAAATCATAATACTCTAATTCAAATAATATTTATGTTAATAATTTCTATTATTTCCTAATCGAATTAAAATGATTACTTATAATGTAAGTAGTGTTCGTTAGAGCAAAAACTACAGGTTCGTTATGAC